AATCTATATGTGACAGTGAATACTAAAACCCCATAATGTATTGTTATAGTTGGTGGAACTTTAAAAGGTTTAAAGATACAGTTACTGCCCAAACAACATTTTAATGCTCACAGTGAACATTTTATAATCTGGTTACTGCTGCATCCTAGTAAATTCTCTCGTCATTGTGGTTGACCTTGACCACCTGTTTCCTCCTTCCACACTGTGCTCCTTGGAAGGAGCTTGTTGGTGAGGAGTGGTGCTCTTGGGCCCTCGGGGCAGAGCATCTGTGGGAGGTCTGTCTCTTCTCCCCCACTTGTCTCTCTTTCAGTCTGTACATCGCTATGTACTGACGGGGATTTATTTTATACTTGAACTCATAAGCCCAGCACTATTTTATTTTGTTTCTCAGATTTTTCTAGCTTTGGATTGGGAGCTCTTTAAATTGACTCTTGTTTCCCTTTGACATTCTCCCATCAATATGGGTTTGTTTGTTTTGAGTACTTCTTGCTTTCAGACATGTACAATATTCTTGTTCATTTTGTATGTTTTCTGTCCCAGTCCTGGAATCAGCCATATCTCCTGGGAGTCCTGGTTCCTTTTACTGTAGAATGGTATTAGACACCATGATGTGAGTGCTAGGTGTACTTACTGCTACTGGAGTGCTGTTTCTTTTAGGCCTTCTTAGCTGATGGAACAGAGAAGTGTCTGTGTGCATAGCAACCCAGACGTAGACATAGACCTGTAATACACACTTACCTGTAAAGATTTCTATGTATAACCATCTGTATATTAAGCTAAGCTAAACATGAGGTCTTAACTGATATTTCCAATTCTCGCCCATTAATACATGGACGACTCTACCCATGTTTACCTGTGAATTGCCTGGTTCTTGCTTTCCTTTTTTTTTTTTTTTTTTAAGTTTATTAATTTGAAAGAGTTACACAAAGAGAGGGAGTGATCTTCCATCTGCTGCTTCACTCCCATCCTGGCCACAGCAGCCAGTGCTGGGCCAGCCCAAAGCCAGGAGCTTCATCTGGGTCTCCCATGTGCATGGCAGGAGCCCAAACTCTTGGGCCATCTTCCACTGCTTTTCCCAGGCTGTTAGCAGGGAACTGGATTGGAAGCATAGCAGTGAGGACCCAAACCGATGCCATTTGGAATGCTGGTGTCACAGTGGCTTTACCACTGCACCACAGTGCCAGCCCCTCCATTTGTCTTTGTTCTTACAGATCCCTTCATTCCCATAGTTGGAGCCTTTCCTCTGTAAGGAAGACCATTTCATACATTGGTAATAAAGTTAGATTTTCTTGGCACAGGCTACGGGCCTTCCTGGGATCCGCCACCCTCCTAAGTGATTTTTTTTTTTTTAAGATTTTATTTTTATTTATTTGAAAGACTGAGTTACTGAGAGAGGTAGAGACAGAGAGAGAGGTCTTCCATCTGTTGGTTCACTACTCAGATAGTTGCAATGGCCGGAGCTACACTGAGTTTCTTCCGGGTGTCCCACGTGGGTGCAGGGGCCCAAGGACTTGGGCCATCTTCCCCTGCTTTCCCAGGCCATAGCAGAGAGCTGGATCAGAAGAGGAGCAGCCAGGACTAGAACCAGTGCCCATATGGGATGCCAGCACTTCAGGTCAGGGCTTTACCCGTTGCGCCACGGCGCCAGCCCCAGTGATTTTTTTTTTTTTTTTAAGATTTATTTATTTGAAAGACAGAGCTACAGAGAGAAGTAGAGACAGAGAGGTCTTCCATCTGCTGATTCACTCCCCAGATGGCCACAATAGCCAAGGCTGGGCCATGCTGAAGCCAGGAGCCAGGAGCTTCTGGTCTCCCATGTGAAGTGTAGGGGCCCAAGTCCTTGGGCCATCCTCTGCTGTTTTCCCAGGCGCATTAGCATGGAGCTGGATCGCAAGTGGAGCAGCTGGGACTCAAACTGGTGCCCATATGGGATGCTGGCGCTGCAGGCAGGGCTTCAACCCACTGAACCACAGCTTCGGCCCCTAAATGATTTTTTAAAAATTTGCATTTGAAGCTTACATTGAAACACGCCTCTTGTGAGGTAAGGGTTTGTGGGTTTTGATAAGTACATGATATGATGTATCTATTGGTACATACCATGCCAGAATAGTTTCACTACCTGAAAATCCCCCTGTGTTTATCTGTTCATCTCTCTTCTAATCTCTCCAAACTATTGACAACACTGATCTTTATACTGTTTTATACTTTTGGATTTTCAGAATATAACTGGAATTCTGCAATGTACAGCATTTTCAGACTGGTTTCTTTCACTTAGCAATATGTATTTTAGTTTTCCCCATTGTGTGTGTGCCATTTGATAAGTTTATTTCTTTTTGTTACTGAATATTCCGTTTTATGGATATACTACAGTTTCTTTACCTGTTTACCTATTGAAAGGTACCCTGGTTGCTTACAGTTTGGGACAGTTATGAGTAAAACTATTATAAACATACCTTTGTGGGATTTTAGGGGTGTGTGTGTGTGTGTGTGTGAGAGAGAGAGAGAGAGAAAGAAAGAAGGAGAGAGATCTAAATCAGCTGGATACATGCCTTGGAGTGCACTTGCTGTTCTGTATGGTTAAGAGTATGTTTGGCTTTGTCATTCTACATCCCCACCAGTGAGGGCGAGCTCCTGTCTCCGTGCGTCGTCTACAGCCATCTGGTCTCAGTGTTTGTACTTCCCGTGTTCTGCTAGCTGTGTTGCACTCTCACATCGTGGGGGAACATCTTGTCACATGCTCATTTGCCATCTAGATGTGTACAGTCTCTGTGGTGAGGAGTCTGTCTAGCTCTTTGCTTGTTTCTTGAGTTGTTTGTGTTCTTATTATTGAATCTTGAGAACCTGTGCTTCATTACATATGTCTGTTGCAAGATTTCCTCCAAGCTCGTGACTTGACTTTTTATTTTCTGATTCTTTCTTCTCTTCACAATGTTTTTCATAGAGCAGAAGCTTCTGATTTTAATAACTTGCTTTTTTATTTCATAGATTGCGCTTTTTTTGTTATAACTAAAACCTCACTGCAAACCTCCCTCCCTCTGCAGAGACAGATCTTGCATGCCCTGGTTTCCCCCCCACCCCTCAGTTCCCATGACGTCTGGATTGGGGCTGTAGTGAAGCCACGCGTCTGGAACTCAGTCCAGGTCTCGCGCACGAGTAGAAGGAACTCTGCCTCACTGGAGTCATCATCTGCTGCCTTCCAGAATGCACATTTGCAGGAAGCTGGAACCAGAAGCAGAGCCAGGACTCAAACCCAGGCCCTCCAGTTTGGGATGTGGGCGTTGTCCCAAGTGCCAAAGGCCTGTCCCTGAGTGGGTTTTGAGAAGCCCATGGAGCCGTTTTCCATGAGCTTTTGGAACCCCCGTACATTTTGGATTCAACTTGATAATACTTTGTTGTGGATTTTTACATCTGTTTTCATGAGAGATTTGTAGATTTCTTTTTTTACATTGTTTTCTTCTGGTTTTGGTGTTAGCAAACCTGCTCTTTTAATGTTTCTTCATTCCTCTCTAGCTTGTGTCCATATACATTTTCATTTTCTGTGATTTTTTTTAAGTTCCCAGAGGAACTTTTTTTTTTTTTAAGATTTATTTATTTAAAAGTCAGAGTTACACAGAGAGAGGAAAGGCAGAGAGAGAGAGAGAGAGATCGGTCTTCTGTCCGATGGTTCACTCCTCAGATGGCTGCAACAGCCAGAGCTGCGCTGATCCGAAGTCAGGAGCCATGAGCTTCTTCCAGGTCTCCCACAGTGGTGCAGGGGCCCAAGGACTTGGGCCATCTTTCACTGCTTTCCCAGGCCATAGCAGAGAGATGGATTGGAAGAGGAGCAGCTGGGAATGGAACCAGTGCACATATGGGATGCTGGTGCTTCAGGCCAGGGCATTAACCCGCTGCGCCACAGCGCCGGCCCCTTCTGTGATTTTTAATTGTGAACATGATGTGCAAATTGTATTTGTTCACTTAAGTTGTTAATCTTTAACATCCATTCATCCTGTAGTAAAGCCTTTTTAAAATGTTGCTTCATAATTTTCATTTGTGTGATTTTTATTTAAGAGCAGCTGTATTTTAAAACAAGAAATGGAATTCATGTTGCTGCATTTACAGAAAGCTGCCTGTTCTCTGAAATCTTTTTTTTTTCTGCGTAGTTACACTTACATAAAGATAATGGCCAGGAAATAACTTTATTTTTCCTTTGGGAAATGAAGGAAGGAGACGTGTTATAGCCCTTTGTACTACACAGGAACTCTCACCTGGATCTCACCTGGAGAGCGCGGAGGCACCTGCGCCTTCCTGCTGCTGGGGTTGTCCTGGGCAGGCCTGGCGACATCTGGGGGCGCCTGTTTCTTCACGCAGCCCTTTCCTGTATTTTCTCTTTCAAACATCGTTTCTCTCAGCCTTCTGTAGAGCAAAAGAGTGTAGTTACATAGTGATGACTCATCCTGAGAAGTTTCCTACTGTCAAATATTAAAACAAGTATTTTGAAGGGGCCGGCATTGTGGCTTTGCGGCTAAAGATGCTGCTTGCAACACCAGCGCCTCATCGGAGGTGCTGGTTCATGTCCTGGCTGCTCCACTTCTGCTCCAGCTCCCTGTTAATGACCTGGGAAAAGCAGCAAAGGATGGCTTACATGCTTGGGTCTCTGCACCCATATGGGAGACCCAGATGAAGCTGCCAGCTCCCGGCTTCCATCTGGCCCAGCTTGGGCTGTTGTGGTCATCTGGGGAGTGAACCAGTAGGAGGAAGATCTCTGTCTTTTTCTGTCTATAACTCTTTCAAAATAAATTTTTTTTAAAGTAAGTTGAAGTCTTAAGTTTATCTCTGCTTCATTTTTTGATTAAAGCATTTTGCATAGGGCGAACTTAATATAGGGAAGATGATGGCAATGGAGAGGAAAGTTTAGGACTTACAACCTGAGTAAATTTAAAGTACAATAGATTAGTTATAAGAGTTTTGATATAAAGAAAGAGTTGTCAGCCTGGTCATGTTTGTTGTCTCCTTCCTAGGCAGAGAGCGCCCCCGATGGACCAGACTGTGGTTATGGTTCCTTTCACCAGCAGTACTGGTTGGATGGAAAGATCATTGCTGTGGGGGTGATTGACATCCTTCCATCCTGTGTCTCGTCTGTGTATTTGTACTATGACCCTGAGTATTCCTTTCTGTCCTTGGGTGTCTACTCTGCACTAAGGTAAGATTGCTTTTTGGGTTGTTGCAGTGGGTTTTATAGCACTTCAAAGAATTATTTACTTGATTATAACTTCATTATGTAACATTAGTCCTATTTGACAGTATATTACAATAATCTGTTGCTGTAATAGTCTCTTAGTTACATACTTACTTAGAAGTACCACCTTTAGAAGCAGTGTCTGATGGTGACTCTCTAGCTTGTAAAGATCTCCATCTACCCTAGCATGTAATAAATAATTGTATTTGTAGTTTAGTTTGTACATTTATTCAAGCTTTTGTTGTTTAGTTTGTACATTTATTTAAGCTCACATTAGAACCACTTATGTTCTTTAAGTGTTACTTACATTCTTGTCATTACTATCATATATATTTTTCACTGTTAATTAGGTTAAATTAATGTGGTAGAAATGAATTGAAGTGTGAGACTGCTAGAAGAAATACAGTTATACAATTGTGCATCACTTGACGGTGGGGGTATGTTCTGAAAAATGCATTAGGTGATTTCCTTACTGTGTGAGCATCAGAAAGTGTACTTGGGCCGGTCCCAGAGTAAGGGTAAAGATTTGGGGAGGTTACTTGATTTGATTAATACCTGAAAGGATTACTTGGCTGGACATTTGGCCTAGTGGTTAAGCTGCTGGTTGGGATACCCACATCCTGTATCAGGTGTCTGGGTTTGAGTCCTGGCTCTGCTCCCAGTTCATCTTCCTGCTGACACACACTCTGGGAGGTGGCAGGTGATGCCCAGAGTTCTGGGTTCCCGGTGTTGGACTGGCACAGCCCACATTGCTGGTGTTTGGCGAGTGAACCAGCAGATGGGAAATCTCTGGGGACATCTCTGCTTTTTCAAACAAAATCAATTTTAAAAACAAAACACTTTTGGCTGGCGCCGTGGCTCACTAGGCTAATCCTCCACCTAGCGGCGCCGGCACACCGGGTTCTAGTCCCGGTCAGGGCGCCGGATTCTGTCCCGGTTGCCCCTCTTCCAGGCCAGCTCTCTGTTGTGGCCAAGGAGTGCAGTGGAGGATGGCCCAAGTGCTTGGGCCCTGCACCCCATGGGAGACCAGGATAAGTACCTGGCTCCTGCCATCGGATCAGCGCGGTGTGCCAGCCGCAGCGCACCGGCTGCGGTGGCCATTGGAGGGTGAACCAACGGCAAAGGAAGACCTTTCTCTCTGTCTCTCTCTTTCACTGTCCACTCTGCCTGTCAAAAAAAAATAAAAATAAAAAATAAAAACACTTTTACCATTCTGTGGGAGTTGTGGAGAGACAAGAGTGGGAAGAGAAATTAACTGGGAGGCTTTTTCATCTGTAAGGGAGCTGTAATGTGCCCTGAGCCAGGGTATCTGAGGTGGTGGTGCTGGGAAGTAGTCAGGTTCTGGGTGCGTTTTGGAAATGGAAATCAAAGGACTTGCTGAAGGATTCAGTGTGAGACAGAGGAAAAGAACTAGGGGTGACTCACTGAGTCCAGACAGAGCAGTGGTGCAGTTCACTGAGGCGGGCAAGACCGAGTGAGAGCACCGCTGTGCCTGGGTGGGCCCTGCTGGATTGGGGTGGCTGTAAGTTGGACTGTGTGAGTGTGTTCCTACTCAGTTTGAACCTTGAGAGTCGATTAGTTCTAGGAATAGAAAGATTTATACCATTAGAGGCTAAAAATGTTTAATCTGCTTGAATTTAGAAATAGTTTAAAGATTAATTTTTAGGGTAGAAAGCCTTCAATTTAAATTGAATTGGTTTAAATCTGAGTTGAAAATGTGCAGAAAATTAGTATTTTAAAAAATATTTTATTTTTATTATTTATTTTTGAGAGGTAGAGTTACAGACAGTGAGGGGAAGAGACAGTGAGAGGCCAGAGCTGAGCCAGTCTGAAACCAGGAGCCAGGAGCTTCCTCGGGGTCTCGCACCTGGGTGTAGGGGCCCAAGGACTTGGCTCTCTTTTATTGCTTTCTCAGGCCGCAGCAGAGAGCTGCATCTGAAGAGGAGCAGCAGGGACTCGAGTGGCGCCCATATGGGATGCCAGTGCCACAGGCGGAGGGTTAACCGACTGTGCCACAGCACCGGCCCCCAGAATAATCAGTTTTGAGAAACGTTTTTCTTTCACTTGAAGCGTTTGTCACTACTAAAAGGTGAAAAAAATGGAAAACCTTCAGGAAACAAGACAGCTCTCTTTATACTTGAGAAGCATATTGAAAGTTTACTTAAAACTTTCAGACACAGCCAGTTAGCTGGGCAAATAGGATGAAACTGTGCCAGGATTTACCCGGATACAAATTAAAACCACTTTGCACATAGGTATTGCAGGCAAGGTGCCGACAGTGTTTGTTCCAACAGAGGGAAGGTGTTGGGTAACAGAGTACCCCCTTCTAGCAGTCTAGTGGATGTCAGGGTTGCACCCTAATACAGGGCTGAGTTGTGTGTCACCTTCAGCTGAAAGTGCATGCCAGTGATTCCAGGCACAATCATTCTTCCTGGGATTTCTGGGCTTTCGAATTCTGCCATCTGCTGTAGTGCTTTAGCCTGAAAAGCACAGATACTCTGAGAACTCTTGGGCCTAATGAATAGTAACAAGACCCTGTGCATCTCTTTAATTTTAAGCTATTTGAATTTTAAATCGGCTCCTTTGCCCAATAAAGTATAAAGCCTGGTATGAGGTGCATTTACTCAAAAATAACTGAGTTTTGTTTTTTTCATGTCTCTTCAGTAAAAATCTTACGATGTTTTGAAAATTTTTTCTTTTGGGTTTGAATGTTTTTGATTGTTTGATAGGAATTTTATCATATATTTTCCATCAGATCCCATGTGTTATAGACGTTGGGACCAGACTTAGCTGTGCCTTTGTCTTCTTTTTTGACAGAGAGATTGCTTTCACCAGGCAGCTCCATGAGAAGGCACCGCAGCTCAGCTATTATTACATGGGTTTCTACATCCACTCCTGCCCCAAGATGAAATACAAGGTAACCGTGGTTTTCACAGTGTCTGTTTTCATTATACGAAGATAAATATTTAAAGCTGTTTTTATTGCGTAGCAGCTTTGTGGGAGAGATGATGGGGTTAATAGGGAAATCCCTGCTGCTTAGAAACTAGGCTTTCTGGGGCTGGCATTGTAGTGTAGTGGATAAAGCTGCTGCTCGTGACGCTGGCATCCATATGGGTGCCAGTTCGAGACCTGGCTGCTCCACTTCAATCCAGCTCCCTGCTAATGCACCTGAGAAAGCAGCGAATACGGCCCATGTACTTGGGCCTCTGCACCCACGTGGGAGATCCAGAAAAACCTTCGGGCTCTTGGCTTCTGCCTGACCCAGCCCCAGCCATTGCAGCCATTTCCGGAGTTAACCAGCAGATGGAAAATCTCTCTCTCCCTGTAACTCTGTTTTTCAAATAAATAAATAAATCTTTAAAAGAGAATGAAAGGAGAAATGAGGCTTTCTGTAATGAGAACTGTAGCCTCCACTTTGTAGTCTGTTATATTATTGTAAGATTTAAATATATTTCAGAATTTCCCTTTCTACAAAAGGTTTTATGACTCTCTTTAGTGAAACTCTTTGATGTTGTCAAAGCATTTAGTGTACAAACTGCAGTTGTACAGAGTGGTCCCTCAGCCCAGTAGCTCTTGAGTGGCTTAGTATAAAGCTTCAAGCTCTGAAGATGCAAAATGATGTAAACATGAATCTTCCACATAAAGTTTGTTATCTAGGTTATGACTTGAGGGGTAGTGTACGGAAGTGGCCTAGGAGGATCTGGAGTGTGTACCCAAGGTGTAGAAGAGGAAGGGGTGTAAGTGCAGAGGAGGAAGAAACGGAGTGAGTGAGGAGTCAGATGTGATGCTGCCTGTGATGGATTCACAGAAAAAAGTGCAACCAAGGAGCCGGAGGGGCCTCGCGAGCTGGTCTACGGGACCCGGGCACTGGGAGTCGTCAGCAGGTTCAGAGGAAAGAACAGTGTAAATAAAAACATAGAAATGTGTTCCTATGTGTAGGGTGTTTTAAGGTGGCTAAATTAGAGAAATGGGTGTATGTGAGCCCCAGCATGAGCAGGTGTTCATGCATCTTGTGTCATCTGTCCCTTCACCCCAGTGCCACCTCTGCCCATGGGTGCTTTTAAATGGTTTGGAGCACACTGAGGATATTATTTCATCTAAATATTGGAATGTGTGTGTCTCAAAGATAAGGGCATTGTCAGAACATAGCTGTAGTCTCATCTTGACACCTAAATGTACCCAAATCCAAATATTCCAAGTATCATCTGACTTCTAGTCTGTGCTCATAATTATCTACTTATTTCATTTTTTTTACAGGTACTTTGTTACTTTAGGACCCCAACAAGGCTAATATGTTAAGTTGGGTTGATGTCCTCTTAGATCTCTTGAATTCATAAATTCCCTCCCTTTTCTTCCCTGCACTTGTTTACAGAGTAATAACTCAGAGGACTTGGTTATTGACTAAATGTGGGAATGATCGTGGTTCCGAAGCTTTGAGATTAAGGCTGAGTGACTGCGAAAGTGATGGTTCCCTGTCACAAGTGATGGCTTCTGAAAGTAGGGCTGGTAATGAGGGGAGAAGACGCAGTCCCTTGTGCTGTGGTATTCACAGTGCAGGAAGTGTGGTCATAAGTGCCTAGCTTGCATTGAAAGTGTTTTTATCTCATATTTAAATGTGCTTTGTAGATATGTAACTTCTAAATTCGGTAGTCTTCAGAAATTTCCTTTATGCCCTAATTAATTATTAATTTACTTGATAGGCTTAATGTCCTACACAGAAGGAAAAGCACGATCAAATTTCAGTTTGCTCCAAAATACTTATTTGGTACCATTTTCTAGTTTTTTCTCTTCCTAGATTATTTTTCATAGTATAGCACTACTCTAAGTTGAGTTACTTCAGGGTCGAAAGCTCACATATTCAGGTATTTTAGTTACAAGATTTACAGCACACTCCGGGGTGAGCAGTTAAGACACCCCTGGGCTGTCTGCATCCCACATGAGAGTACATGGATTCAAGTCCTGGTTCTGTTCCCAATTCCATCTTCCTGCTACAGTGCACCCTGGGAGGCAGTAGGTGACAGCTCAGGTATTTGGGTTCCTGCCACCTATGTGGCAAACTCGGCTGAGTTCCTGGCGTCTGACTTCAGCCTGGCTAGGACCAGCTGTTGTACTTGGCATTTGAGAAATGAACCAACAGATGGGAGATACCCCCCCCCCCCATTTTCCTGCTTCTTTCAAATAAATTTTATAAAAGAAAAAATACCCTATATATTAATCTTTGTTTATGTGGTACTTGTGCATGGTCCATTCTAAGCAGAAGTATCTTTATACCAGACTTAGGGACTTCTAGGAATTTTGGTTTTACCACTCATCTCTTGGCCATTGCACCATCACAGCGTTTCTCCTGACAAGGTTTTTTTTTTTTTTTTTCTTTTCTTTTTTTAGAAGATTTATTTATTTACTTGAAAGTGTTACACACACACATACACACACACACAGAAAAAGAGAGAGAGAGGTCTTCCATCTGCTGGTTCACTCCCTAGTTGGCCACAATAATGGGAGCTGCACCAATCCGGAGCCAGGAGCTTCTTCCAGGTCTCCCACATGGGTGCAGGGGCCCAAGGACTTGTGCCATCTTCTGCTTTCCTAGGCTGTAGCAGAGAGCTGGATTGGGAGAGGAGCATCTGGGACTAGATGGGATGCCGGCTCTGCAGACAGAGGATTAATCTATTGAGCCACAGTGCTGGCCCCATCATGGACACTTTTAACTCACACCTTTGCTAACTCTAGTCCTGACTAAATATTTTATGTTCTCTAGGGGCTTCCTAGGTTGAGTTCTGCTTGGAATTTGAAATCAGCCCATATCTCTTTATATGTTATCTTTGTAATCTTCATCACAGGTTTTTTTTTTTTTTTTTTTTTTTTTTTGACAGGCAGAGTGGACAGTGAGAGAGAGAGACAGAGAGAGAAAGGTCTTCCTTTGCCATTGGTTCACCCTCCAATGGCCGCCGCACCGCGCTGATCCAATGGCAGGAGCCAGGAGCCAGGTGCTTTTCCTGGTCTCCCATGGGGTGCAGGGCCCAAGCACTTGGGCCATCCTCCACTGCACTCCCTGGCCACAGCAGAGAGCTGGCCTGGAAGAGGGGCAACCGGGACAGAATCCGGCGCCCCGACCGGGACTAGAACCCGGTGTGCCGGCGCCGCTAGGCGGAGGATTAGCCTAGTGAGCCGCGGCGCCGGCCAGGTTTTTGTTTTTTTTAATTAGTTTTTTCAGCCTTAGTTCAGGCTTTAATTTTGTGCATAGTGATATTCATGGTATTGATACCATTTTATTTTATCTTGTATCCCATCTTTGGCACATTTTTTTTCCTTTAAAAATTCTATATTCAATTAATTTTATGCCTCAAAATTTTATATACAAGTTGTATATCCTGCATCTGAAGTGTTTGGGACCAGAAGAGTTTAGGATTTCCAATATTTTTTTTTTTACACTTTAAGTATTTTACATGTACTTCAGTATCTTGGTTCCAAGGCCTGAGTCTTAAAGAATGAAATTCATTTATGTTTCACCAATACTATATATTCTGCAGGTACATCTGTACAATATTTGTAGTGCATATACGTTTTCTGTTGTGCCCTGTCACATGTGGTTAAGTGTGGACTTTTCAACTTGTGACAACTTATCACTGCCCCATAATGTTTACATTTTGGAGCATTTAGGATTTCAAATTTTTGTATCAGAGATGCTTAACTTATGTATGGGTGCTTTTTTAAAATTATTCACCTTTATCACTTTTCCTTGAGTATTCAAAATTAGTTACTTCATTGTTTTATACTTTAAACTTAATTTAGTTTTCCAATGCAGATTTTTTAAAAATGTATTTTCCTGTGCTTTCTAAATGTTTATTATTTGTACGTTAGGCCCCTTCCCATACACTTTAGGACTCTGATTGCATTTGCAAATAAAGTGTACAGAAATGTTTTTGGGCATAATTTTAATACTTTCTCCTCTATGTTATCTCTCCGACTACTGCTGTGAGGCTATTTTGTGATCTGAGAGAGGCGTTTTGACGGAATTCTTTCTCCAGACTTGTATGCAGGCCAAGCAAACAGAGTGATTTCGGTTAGTCTGCTTGGATAGTGGAAACAGCAGCAAAGGTTCTGAGATGTCAGAAAGGAAGCAAAGGGGGAATTCCTCTGGGTGAGTCACCGTGCGTGAAGTGCTCGGCTCCAGTGTGGTCAGGAGCCTGGAGCTCTGCAGGGCTTTGCCCTCGGGAAGGTACTTGGTATCACTGTCTGAGAAGCATCCGCAAGGAGGAAAAGCTGGAGTTAACAGAGCGGCATCTGCAGAACCGGGTGTTGCTGGAAGCTGCCGTCAGCCATGTTTGCAGCTTCCTGACCAAACAAATTAGTCAGTGTGATTTCACTACAGTTTTGCAGCCCAGGGTGGTGCTGTGGGCACACGTGGCAGTGACTTTGCTACTGCTGGGCCAAAAGGGATTCAAATGATCTCATCAGCTACCCACAAGCACAAGGAACAAAATATTGGACTCTTGATTCAGCATCTGTTTTCTTGATGTCAAATGTTCAGTGAATTAGACATAGTAAAAGGAAATTACCACAGAATAATTTTAGTAAGGATTTTTTAATGCCCCCTAGAGGCAGTGGGAAGCAGAATTCTCAGTGCTCATCAGATTCTTTTCTGGAATTGTCACGTGTGATATGATTCTCATCAGAGTCAAAAGCAGTTCCTTCAGGGTCACCTCTTCCAAGATGCTCAGACCAGATGAGAACGTTGAAGCGCAAGCTGATTCACCTGCCTAGAGTTCGCATTAACTCACATTGTGATTTAAACAACATTAAAGGGTTCAAACTTAGGAACTAATGTTCCGGCAAACGGCGTGGTTTATCAGGCTTATGGTAATTTTGAAGTGTCCTAAAAGACAGCGTATTAATTAATGGTAAGTGTTAACTGGA